GGGGGGGAATCCATCAGTGGAACCATCCTGACTTCCCAAGCATGAAATCCAAACATTTTGAGCTGCCCCTTTCTATTCTTGCACTTCACACTCCGTGACCCAGTCAGACTGAATACAAATCCATTCCTGCTTTATGGATTTGCAATTTTTGGAAAATGCTCTTATGCTTTACTGAATAGAGAGTGCATTTATCTAAACTCCATGCTTTGCAAGATAATTTCAGTTTTATCCATTTTATACCACTTTGTAGGAATTAGGATAAAAATTCCAGGCATACACATACTGATGAGGATATGGAAAAATTAGAGTCTTCAAAAATGGCGATAAGATTGTGAGATTTCATAGCTACTCTACAAATAGTTTATTTGCTTCTGAACTTACCAAAATAAATTTTTCATATGATTTTAATCACTCAGTAAATAACTAAGAGTTTTGAAATTGCACATTTGCACAAAATGTGGAAGCTGACATTCATATAACAATTTTTTATGGTAACCAAAACTTAGAAACTAGCCAAAAGTCTGTTAGTTTATAAAGGCTAATCAAAAAGAATTTCATCCATACATGGATATTCTTCACCCATAAAAGAAATAAGATTAATAACCTTGTTATTGCATGAATAAGCATTGAAACATATACAAATAGATACAAACAGCCCCTCCTGTGTGACTCTGGTGACAGAATATCTACATTGTCAACATTAATGCACATATAAAATAGAGCTATAGGTTCCAGGGACCATGCGGATATGAATTAGACAGGGGATGATTGGAAACAGTCATAAGTTTTCTTATGGTGATGAACATACATGTTAAGTATCATTATGGTACAGGCACAAATGACTTAATATACAAATCCCATTCCACTTTATACTTCCAATTTGATCTTACTGTATGTGAGCAAAATTCATGCAAAGTGCCATATCAAAAGATAAACCAAAGCCATAACACATAATAAATTTCTGTAGAAAACAAACAGTCCAGCCAGGCTGCCATACCTCCATCCCCAGCACTGCAGAGCAGAGCTGCCCCCGGAAAAGAGGAGGTGAACTTTCCAGGCTGCTGTATCACTGCCCCCAGTGCCAAGGAGGTGAACCTTCTGGGCTGCCATAACACCATCCCCAGGGCCAAGGTGCAGAGCTGCCCCCAGCACAGAGGAAGTGAACATTCTGGGCTGCTGTACCACCAAACCCAGTCCTGAGGAGCAGAGCTCCCCCCAGCACAGAGGAGGTGAACTTTCCAGGCTGCCTTACTACCACCCACAGTGCCAAGGAGGTGAGACAAGTGGGTGTCAGCTGCGCACATCCCTCCCACCCCACCCAATGAAATGAGAAGACACTTAAACAAGTCTCAAAACCAGACTTCCAGATCACCTAAAGCAACCCCAAAGGGAAATGAGATGCAACAACCTGATACTCAGCAA